CTGTAGGCAGGTCTATGTGCATGTGTAGGCAGGTCTATGTGCACTGTAGGCAGGTCTATGTGCATGTGTAGGCAGGTCTATGTGCACTGTAGGCACGTATATGTGCACATGTAGGCAGATGTATGTACACTGCAGGCAGACGTATGTACGCTGTAGGTAGGTATATGTGCACTACAGGCAGGCATATGTACACTGTAGGCACATGTATGTGCACGTGTAGGCAGATATATGTACACTGCAGGCAGGCGTATGTACACTGTAGGTAGGTATATTTGCATGTGTAGGTAGGTCTATGTGTACTGTAGTCAGGTCTCTTTGCACTGCATGCAAGGATATGTGCACTGCAAGCAGGTATATGTGCACGTGTAGGCAGGTCTATGCGTACTGTAGTCAGGTCTCTTTGCACTGCAGGCAGGTATATGTGCATGTTCTTGCATGGAGTACACATGTGTGCATGCATGTACATTTTCAGGTGTGTGTATCTGTGTGCACATATGTGGTATGGGCACATGTGTGCATGCTTGTGGTTGTGTACATGTGTGTGAATGTATATCCATATACTTGTGTGCATGTGTATGTGCCTGTTGGTGGGTGAGTCCGAGCAGCAGCTGTGTGGAGAGCTCACCATTGAGGCTTCCAGCAAAGGCTGTTACAGGATAACACTGAGCAAGATGGTCAGAATCTTACACCAAAACCCTTCAAATTCTAAATTTGGACAGCTCTGTTTACATGTACCTTCTCCACTCCCGTGCATGCCTGCTGCACAAAGCATGGGCTCTGGCCTCTCTTGGGGGTGGCCCTTTCCCATTTCACAGCTGGCTTCCATACATGGTCCAGGATTAAGGAGGCCAAGAGGAAGCCAGGAGTGGCCAGAAGGGAAGGTCGGACCCAATAGGGTGCTCATCAGGGGCTGATTTCAAAGTTAAAAATTGTTATTATTTTGTCACCTGAAAGTTGCTTTCCACTCTGCTTCCCTCTCCTTCCCAGAAAGGAGAGTAAGACTTGCATAAAGAAGGATTGAGGGTGCAGGTGCCCAGCAGGGGTCTCTGAGGGCAGAGGGCTCTGGTCAGCCCCTCAGGCTCTGCTGGGTGGGTGGCGGTTCTGGACAAGGCCACAAGGACCTCTGGGGTGATGTTTCTCTGCAGGTCAGGATCAGTGTCCCCATGGGAGCTGCTGCCGTCAACCTGGGATCCCTAAGTACGGTGGAGGTGACTGGCCCTGTGGTAGCAGGGCTGAGCAGTAGCATTTAGGCACCAGAGAAAACGTGGACATGATGGCCACAGGCAGCAATTGGGAGAGCCTGGCACACTGCAGTCCTCGGCACTGCTGGCTGGTCGAGGTGGTTCCGGAGCTGAGTGCTCTGGAACGCCTTATGGTCCTGCACACACTGGAAGGCTGCAGTCCCCACACAGACAATTGATCTGAATCACTGACAGAGGCACAGACCCTCGGCCAGGTCCCTGACATGGTTATGCAGACCCAGAGTCCCTTGAGAGAAAAGGAAAGAGGTCACTTCAAGGTAGGACCCTGCTACCCAGGCCAGAAACATGCCCGGCTGATCTCTCGGCCTCCCGCTGAGGGACCTGAGCCCTCCTCAGGGTGACTATGACAGGAAGGGCACAAGCAGGCCCTTTGGCCAGACCTGCCTCTGAATGAGACTGTTGATGCCAACAGACCCCAAGGTCGCTGTGGCCACCAGTCAGAGGAGACAATCACAGAGTTCAGGGAGTCTGAGCCCGGGGCCAACTCAGTGGGTCCCCAGCCCATCCCATGGTTGTTTCCCCACAATGAGTGGCCAGCAGAGTCCCCACACTAGGTCCCTGACTATGGAGTCAGGCTGCGATGGTGGGAAAGGCCATGCGAGGCCCCCACCACCCAGGAAAACAGTCACACACACAGCACCACATCCTGGAGGGACAGCAGAGATTAGTGCCAGCACAAGGACTAGAGATAGGGCCATGACCCTACCACAACCCCACTCAGCTTTCCAACTTGGCCTGTCCAGAAGGCAAGCGGACAGTGGAGAATGAAAATCAGGGGGTGATTGTTAAAATCATCCAGGCGGTGACTCCAACTGCAACTTCCATCCCAGAATAAGTTAACACACACCCTAGCACCCAGTTTGCAGCTACAATTAATTTGGCAAATGTTTTTGTCCCTGTTTCAGTGTAAGGATCAGCAGGATGAGCTGCTTTTACCTGGCAAGGTCAGCAACATGCCCTCTGTCCTGTGTCGGGGCCATCCACCCTCCATCCCAACATTATCTAGTCAGCCTCATAACAGCACCAGCAGAGAAGTCCCCAGAAGCACACTTTGAGTCTGATCAGCTTCTGACACATGGGCTGTTCCTCCCACAGTCAGGACACATGGTCAGGAAGCAGGCTGCATGGGGATGGGGGTGGGGGTGGCACCATCACATTACCCCTAGTGACTACAAGGAATGGAGGTCTCAGTTCCAGAAGGACCAATGCTGCCACCAGGAAACAGTGGCACCACTGACTGGCCTGGAGTTAGGGTGCCAATGGCCACTCTGGCTCCTTGAGCTGTGAGTCCACAGGCAAAGGAGGGGGTGCAGGGCTGGCACGTGAGACCCTGACCATCAAAGCAGGCCGGGTGGCTGCCACATAGCAGCAGTTGGGAGAGTGGCACCTCTCAGTGCCCCTGTGTCTCAGAAGAAACCACAAGAAACCAACTCTCTCAGGGCAGCCAGTGGCCAAGAACAGGTGGGAAGGAAGGCCTGTGCCACTTCCCACCAGGGAGCTGTGAGCAGCCAGGTTCCTCACAGAGGGCGAAGGGATGGAGGGATGTGTCACGAAGGATGTAGCTATCAACATGCAGAAACACAGACTGGCAGGTCGTGGTATCTGACAAGAGTGCATTGTGCACACTGACCATGAAGCAGCTCTGCTCCGTCCCTTACTCAGCCTCTCACCATCTAAGATAAGCTGTGCTGCTGTCTTTGAGTTAATATGTTAAAATCTTTGTAATCTTTACACAGTTAACTTCATATCTCACAATAAAGTTCCTGAGTATCAAAAACAGTGAGCGCACCTGGGACAAGGGTGAAAGAAAGTCTCTTCCTGTCTTTGGGGAAAGTGCTGCAGGAACCCCTCACCCCAAGGCCATGGTCATGAGGACAGACCTGGGCCCCGCCCTCACCCTCTTCACAGCCATGTTCCCCTCTAGGCACTCAGGACCTCAGCTCTGCACAGGATCACAGATAGCCCTCTGTGGGGCTGGTGACTGGCCAGATGCAGATGGGCCTGGTGATGCGGCTTCTCCCTCCATGTTACAGTCATATACATGACACAGTTATACTACATATAATACGAATTATGTATATAATTGATTATCTATAATTTAAAAATTATTATACTATTTAAAATTACCTTCTTAGTGTGAGGACCAGATCAGCTCCATTTTGTTGTTTCCACATAAGTTCTGTTCCTGGGCCCTGGCCTGCAGGGCCCACCTTGTAACCTTCCCCATTCCTAGTAGGGCCCACCCTGCAACCATCCCCATTCCATTCCTAGTTGCTTAAACCATACCCGCAGGGCCCACCCTGCAACCTTTCTCATTCCTTTCATAGTTACTCAACCAAATAGTACCACCCTGGGCAACAGAGCAATAAGCCCCCAATTCCTTATTAACTAAGTCACCCTACTGCAATAAAACAATAAGTTTTTATTACCCTAACAGGTAATTTCCCTCCAGCCACTTAATCAAGCCCCGGTTAAGAAATCCCCCCCCTCACCTGTACTAGTGAAATCATCAGCCACCAATGCAAACCTTCCTTTACTAGTGATCTCACCAACCACCAATCAAAAGTGTACTCATACCCTTTTTCCCTTCTTGCTTTCTGTACCCTATAAAAACTGCCTTCACCCCGAGTTCGGGGCTCATCCCAGGCTTGCATGCTGGGCGGGTCCAGACTGGTCTGTAATAAAATCTCACCTTATGCCCTTTACATCGGAGTGTGTCTCGAGTCTGTCCATTTGGGCTAAGTTGGGAGGATTTCTCGGACCCAACATTAGCACCCCTGGGACACAGGTAACATAAAACAAAAACTGCTGATGACAACAGGTGGATGGACCAATACTCTAGGGACAGACAGGTGCCTGGTCTGGTGAGGCCAAAGTGAGCCAGGACCCTGGCCACCCACACCAGGCCAGCCTTTGCCACACGACCTAGAGAGCTACCTGGCTGTGCCCACCACAGTGGGGACCCTGCCCCGGCCCCAGCCTGCTTCCCCACCACACTGGCCAGCCTAGCCCAGCCCACCCCAACCCCTGGCCCAGAGCGGGACCCGCCCCACCTGTTTGGGAGAGCTTCTGCCAGGTGACACTCAGGTGCTGCAGAGCCTCAGGGGACAATTCATAGCTGTGTAAGTCTGTTGCTGGAAACTTCTGGCACCTTCCAAACATGCCATCTGTGAGAAGAGGAACGCAGAGGAGATAGACATGACACTCTGGTTTCAGAGAGCAAAAAGTATCACACATCCTCCTGCAACACATAATAATGCACTGCCGTGAGGCTTTGAAACACAGCTTTAGAAAGTCTCAGAGCTACAAGGACTCAGAGCACTTGGAAACATCTAGGCCCCATGGAAAACACAACTGTGAAGGCAGAGAGAAAAGGTCCCCATCCCATGGGGTTTGAAGTCTTTCATTCCACTTTTCTGGCCCTGCTCAGCCACCCTCTAGCCTTTCTATAATTTTGCATTTTTTATGTGAAACTTGCTTCTGACCACTTAGGGACAAATATTGGGTTCTGTATTTCCAGATGAAGTGTAAGGGCCAGACCAGCGCCATTTTCTTGTCTGCTCTGTTAAACTGCAGGGCCCACCTTGTAACCCTCCCCATTCCATTCATAGTTGCTTAAACCACACCCACAGGGCCCACCCTGCAACCTTTCTCATTCCTTTCATAGTTACTCAACCAAATAGTGTTAAGGGACCCTCCACCCCTTACCTGTACCAATCCAAATTCACCTTTACTAATGAAATCACCAACCACCAATGAAAAGTGTACTCGTATCCAACCCTACCCCTCTTGCTTTCTGTACCCCATAAAAACTGCCTTCACCCCGAGTTCGGGGCTCGTCCGCGGCTTGCATGCCAGGAGAGTCCAGGCCCGGGGCCCCCGGGCTTCCCGGGTCTGTAATAAATCTCATCTTATGCCCTTTACATCGGAGTGAGTCTCAAGTTTGTCAGTTGGGGTTGATTTGGGAGGCTTTCTCGGACCCAACAGAAGAAAAGAACACCCAGGAAATATAAATATTAATCTGCAGAAGCCACAAGGACTTAGGTGTCTTCCAGGGCATGGGAGGCCAGGCAGGAGGGTAGGGGCCCTCACAAGGAGGCCTTAGTGCAGACTAATTTATTTAGCTTTATTCCTTTCCTCTGAAATGACAGACTCTGCTCATCAACATCCTTTGAAACCACACCTTCTAATTAATTTAGGCCCTAATTAGTCTTCACTCCTGAATTGTTCACTTTGAGACAAGCTTCCTGTGGGGCTTCAAACATTCAAATCACCTTCTTTAGACTCACAAAAGACTGATTCTGGGCAGGCTCCACACCCGGGCAGCTGCACTTCTCTCATTGTTCACAAGTTTCGTGTGTGGCTGAAGGAAACCATTCAAATGCAACAAGTTTAATTAGCAGAAACTCCTTTGCCCAGGGCCCGACTTGGTAATTGCAGTTCTAATGTTAGCACTGCCCAGGCAGTGGGCTATGCAGGCAGCAGAGAATAACTCAAGCACCCCACAGCTCCTGGTTTCCAGGGGCCTCTGCGGAGCCTGAGAACTTGGAAGACAACGCCAGCTGCCTCCCTCTGTTGCTCTGCACACAGTTTCTGCGTCCCAAGGGACAGCTCTCAAGGAGGCCCATCCCCTCAAAACCCCCTCCCCAACCGCGTGTTGGGTGGCCGGACATGGAGCACAGAGCCCTGTCCTTTGCTTTGTCCAACATGGAGAGCACTATGCGTGGGGGGAGGGGAAAAGAGAAAATAAGGAACTCCTGAAAACGCACCTAAGACTTTTACTCTCAAATGCATCAACTAGGCGGCACGTAGGGCTGGCCCACCACCACATTCCACAGGAGAGAAGTCCAAGACTGGCTGTACATCAGGACCAGCCACAAGACCCCAGAGGACAGAAATCATGCTCCTGGACTCCCAGCTGGGCCTCACCAGTGAATACTGGACCTGAGGCAGGGTAGCAGAGCTGTCCCACCCATATGTTAACACCCCCCCATGGCGGCAATGGGACGAATGTGCCCCCAGCTGTGTCTGGAGACCAGAGATGTGCCTGGTTCATCTGTACCTTGGAGGATGCTCCCCAGGTGATGCCCCCAGATAATTTCCCCAGCTGAGGCTCCCCAGGTGAAGCTCCCCAGGTGATGCCTCCAGGTGATGCTTCCCAGTGGGTGTAGCCTGGTGGGGCTAACTCACCTTCCTAAAGACTGGGGACACCATTTTCTTAAAGAAAAAGACCAAAGACAATTCCTACTGATTTTAGAAATTTCCAAGTAAATTATTTCTCTTCCAAAGTGTAACAGCATCATTCTTTAAATGTGGCTTGTGTATACAATATTATAAATATTATATATTCTCTGAATATTTATATAAACGTATATTTAAAATATATATAATACTTTTTGTGCTTTTAAATTTAGTTTTAGCTAATTATTTTAACTATTTGAAAGCTGAAATAAACTAACTATTGATTCTCTCTGCCCTAGATTATACTCAGGCCTGTAGAGACAGACACTGTCCCTAGGACATTTTTAATAGACTTTCTTTCTTTTTTTTTTTTTCTTTTCTTTTTTTTTCTTAGAGACAGAGTCTCACTTTATTGCCCTTGGTAGAGTGCTATGGCGTTACGGCTCACAGCAACCTACAACTCCTGGGCTTATGGGATTCTCTTGCCTCAGTCTCCCAAGTAGCTGGGACCACAGGCGCCCGCCACAATACCCAGCTAATACAGACTTTATTTCTTATAGCAGGTTAGATTTATAGAAAAACTGAGAAGCAAATATAGAGATTTCCCACGTACCCTGACACACAACTCCCACATCAGCATTCCCCAAGGAAGGGTACAATTGCTACAGTTGGTAAACTCAAACTACCACATCATCACACCTAGAGTCCCCATCAGACCAGGGCTCCCTCCTGGGGCTCCACATTCTACACGTTTGCAGAGATGCAAGACGGTGAGTTCCCACATGCCTGCCCTCCCCTGCCCTGACCCTGGGCTATCCGCAAGCCCACCCTTCCCAGAGTGCCCAAGCTGCACCTGTTCCCCCACTCTCCCTTGCCCTGACCCTGGGCTGTCCGTGCAAGCCCACCCTTCCCAGAGTGCCCAAGCTGCACCTGTTCCCCCACCCTCCCCTGCCCTGACCCTGGACTGTCCACAGGCCCACCCTTCCCAGAGTGTCCGTGCTGCACCTGTTCCCCCACCCTCCCCTGCCCTGACCCTGGACCACAGGCCTGCCCTTCCCAGAGTGCCTGTAGCTGGAGCCGACAGTGCACAGCTTCACTGACTGGCTTCTTTCACTGGACAAGGTACATGATACTCCCTCCACATCTTCCATAGCCTGAGAACTCTCCTCTTTTTAACACTAACATCTCATCTCATGTCCCAGTGTCTAGCCGCTCCAGTTCACTCACCCACTCTTCCACCAAAGCACATTCTGATCTCAGTTGCTTCCAAGTTTGGGTGACTATGAATGAGCTGCTATAAATGTCCACAGGCAGGTTTTACACAGACAAAAGTTTTCAGCTCTTTGGGGTCAAAACCAGCAAGTGCAGGTACTGGATCATATGGTAAGAGCATATTCACTTTCAAGAAATCTCCAAACTGTGTTCACAGCCTGCACTCCAGGTTCAGCCCCTCTGGCTAGAGTGAGGGCTCCGTGTCAGGCTCTGGGCTGTCAGTGCTCTGCATCCAGCCACTTTAATGGGAGTGGTGGCATCTCCTTGTTTCACCTGATGTATTTTCAACAATGAAATTCACCTTTATCACCTTACTTAAAGGATATCATGATATAAGTGTCCTTAACTCTAATGAACAATTGGCAATTAGACTTGCTGGAGGTGATCACAAGGAGAAGCAGAGTCAGGAGACCCCCAAAGACCATACACATGTTCAGTGCCACACTTTCTAATATATATATATTTTTGAGACAGAGTCCTACTTTGTCATTCTCAGTAGAGTGCTGTGGTGTCACAGCTCACAGCAACCTCAAACTCTTGGGCTCAAGCAATTCTCTTGCCTCAGCCTTCCAAGTACCTGGGACTATATGTGCCTGCCACAACACTTGGCTATTTTTCTTTTTTTGGAGACAAGTTCTCACTCTGGCTCAGGCTGGCCTGGAACTCCTGAGCTCAGGCAATCCACCCACCTCGGCCTCCCAGAGTGCTGGGATTATAGGCAGGAGCCACTGTACCCAGCCACTCTACACTTCCTATTTTTAAGGGGGCATAGCTGCTGAATTTCCCCAAATATGGATATGTGCCTAGTAGTGAAATAAAAAATTAAAGAAATTCCTAAATATATTTGTTATAATTTATTTTTTTAGAGGTCAGAATTCTGAAACCATTGTACTGTTCTCTGTGTCAGCTGGCTGGTAGACAGAACCCAAAAAAAGTTTCTAAGAAAATAATAAGGACTGTTAAAAAGACTGGAAAAGGAAATTTACATCAGGAAAGCACTGAGTCTAAATGAGACTGCAGGGCTGCGTCGTGAAGAGAGAGGCCAAGCCACAAAGCTGCTGGGGCAAAGTCTAAAAAACCCAGGCTAAAGATAGCCCTAAAACCAGTCGAGAAGGGACACATGTGCCTCCCTTCACAGACTGACGGTTCACTCACCCCAGCGCTGACCAGAGCTCCTCCCTCAGCCCCCAGCCCTGCATAGTGCCTTCTCAGTCCTGCCTCAGTGTCCCCAGGTGCTCATGACAAGACGCCCCATCCCTTCCTGACCATGCCTGGAGCCTCCTTGTGAACGTTCTACCCCCTCTAACTTCTTGTTTGCTTCCCTCACTGCCTATGGTCCTGCACCCCCTCAAACATACTCCCTCCAACCAAGCCTGGGCGCATCTTAGGCCCTCAGTTCTGTGCATCTGTGCAGCCCCAGAATACAAGGTGTGGGTCACAGCAGCCATGGAGGCTACCGCTGTGAGTCTATGAACCTGACTATGAGACACTCAGAGTCCAGGCTCCTCTCCTCATCAAGAACAGATAGGATGTGAATGTCCTTGAACCTGACTTCACCACTGGAAACAGGGCTCAACCTAAGGGCATCCCACAAAATCATGCTGCCTAAAAATTGTGGGAGTTAAGAATAGGTTTACCCAGGAAAATCACAGACCAATATATCACTACCAAATGCATGTGAGTACATGTGTAAGTGCCATGTACAGACACATGTGTGTCCACACACACAGCCTAGCCCCTGCGGTACTGTAGGACTCACAGCTGCATGACGTCACCGACTCACCTGACAGACTCACCAAGGCCTGAGGCCTGAGGCACAGAGACCTGAGACCTGACTCGTTCACAACCAGCAGCTTTATTCGCTCATCCCGTTTCTCTGCAGCACTGTGTGTCCTCTCATCCTCTCCAACCCCAACACTGCCTGCACAGTTGGGAAGCCCCTTCCCAGCAACAAGCCAGCCCCCCCCAAGCCCGGTCCCCCCCAGGCCCTTGCCCTGGTAGAGTGCTGTGGTGTCACACCTTATAGCAACCTCAAACTCTTGGGCTCAAGCAATTCTCTTGCCTCAGCCTTCCGAGTACCTGGTCCCTGCTCTGGGGCCTCTGCCTCAAACCCTCCTCCCGGAAAAGGCTCTGCCCGTGTCACCCTCAGGGGGCGGCCAGACACACAGACACACCCACATGCACAGCAGATACTCAGCCACTGACAGTCGCTGTGAGGGCCCATAGGCTGCAAACGGGGCAGGCACAGCCTCAGTGAGGGGCACTAACTCCAATAGTCAGGGGCTTCTTGGAAAGTGCACCTGGGCCAAACTTCAATCCGAGGGAATGTAGAGCGACTCACTTGAGGACAGTGAGAATATTCTATGGACAGGAGGGTCTGGCCCATCAGCCCAGGCAGGGCCTCAGACATGAAGGGGCCTCGCCTAGCAGTGGGCCTGGCACTCCTGGCAGCAGGTCCTAAATGAATATTCACTTTGCGTTACATCTCCCTGGCAAGGGTGGAGATGGCCAGGCCCCACGGGCTAAGAGCAGCTGCAAGGACAGTGGCCATGGAGACTAGAGACCTGGTCAGATGGGGGCCACTGGAAGGACACACAAAGACACATGCACTCACACATGCAGCTTGCCCTCCCTCTGCCAGCCACAGGGCGTGGGAAGGCTCTCAGGTAAAGGGGACGTTCTGGGAGACGGCCTGCAGAGTGTGTTTTCCAAGGCTGTAGGGAGCACTTCTCACCACCCGGTTGGGTGATGGCAGCCATCCTCTGACAGCCATGTAGCCCCACAAGGGGTGGCCTCCCAGATCAGAGCACAGTGATGACAGCACCCACAGGCCAGGACCGTCTGCCAATTGGACAGGCTCTGAGCCTCAGTGAGTTCCATTGAACAAGGGAGGCTCCCATGTCCCCAGGATCCTGGAATGGCCCCTCTTACTGTGCAGAGCAGAAGACTGGACCCTGCTCTAGGGAGCAAGGACACGGTGGTGAGGAAGAGCAGGTGACCACCTCGCCATTAATGCACTCAGAGTAACGACACCAAAGTCATGAGGAGCGAAATCCTTGAGACGTTTTATTGACCACAATCTAGAACTGAGTGCACAGGTATTTCCATTTGAAAGAGAAAATACTGAGCTTTTTTGCTGGATTTTTGGAAGACTATAAAAAACAGCTTGATCATCTTACTTGTTTGCTGTAAGCAGTGCTCTGGAGGCACTGCCCCCTGGGCAAGAGTCACTTTCTCTCAGGAATGCCACTATCCCCTCAACAGTCATGGGCCATCTCAGGGCCCCCTCCAGGTCCTCTGTTTCTGCCCAAGTCAGTTCTGCCCTGTCTCTGGGGCTGCACAGGTTGCTCTGAGCCTGAATCACACACATGTGCATGTGCACATGCTTTCATGCATGCTCCCTGTTCACACACACGTGTGCATGCACACTCACATGAGCACATGCAAACATCCATGAGGGTGAGAATTCTTCATGCACAGATTCCCACATACACACACACATACACAGGCCACGCTTGCACACACTCTCATACAGGAGCTCCATGCTAGCAAGACGGCCCCTCACTTCTGCTACCCTCTGACCACCCTCTCCCCAGCTCGGACACAGGCCTTGTCCCTGTGTGAATTAAAGGGACATGTGTGATATTAACTCTTGTTTTCCATTTGCCTCAAAGAAAACTGAGATGCTCCTGGACACGTTTAATACCACAAGGCTCCCACAGCAGATTGCAGTGAGCAAGCTGTCTCCTCTCCCCGATTTTCTTATTATATGTGTATTTCCCCCACTACCTCCTTAGAGAAACAAATACAACATGATTGCCTAATTTAGTGTCTCAAGGTGGGGTGACAGCTTGTCCCATCCAGGAGTCTCTGCCATGCTTGTCCTGTTCAAATCACCAGTGTAAATGCCTCACACAGGTGAACATGCACACAAAGACAGCTCAGCTGCCTGGAGCCCAAAGGCAGAGTTCTCCACGTGTGAGCAGGAGGGAAGAGGAGGAAGAGGAGCCACAGTGATAGTCTTTGCAGGCTAGGAGGAGCCAAGCTCCGCCACTGTGATCAGGCCGCTGAGAGCTGTCTGATGCCCAGCACGCACACCTAGGAATAGGGAACTGCAGCACTCCTGGTGCTGTGCAGGCACCAGATAGTTTCTATCCATAACTGCAGAAAATGGCCTATGACACACATGCAGACTTGCGGGATGCTACACACAAGTGCCACATGGTTCCTCCAGTCTGAGGCAACAGCAGAGCTTGCCCTAACCAAACGCAGCCCCAGAACACATGGGATGCCCTGAGGCATGCCCGGGGCTTTGATGCTGCCAGCTCTGGGCTGCACAGCCCAGGAACAGCCTGGTCCCTCCCAGTCCAGCCCCTGGGCTGTCCATGCACAGCCAGCAGCCCTTAGTCCTTAGAGGAGGGTGGCTGCCTCCCGGAGGCTGCAGGGGCAAAGCTGGTCCCTCCCTCTCTCCTCCCTGAACTCCAAACCACAAGGGGCCACGGTCACCTCAGGACAGGAGGACAGATCAGCAGTGACCCCTAGTGGCTACCTCAGCAGCTCCAGGCTGCTGTCAGGGAGGATGCAGAGCAGCCCTGGGCTGGGCATGGCTGTGACCAGGGCTCCTATGGGCTCCTATGGGCTCCTCATCCAGTTTCACTACTCAGAGATCAAGCCACACAGAGATGGTCAGGACTCACCACACTCAAACCACCACATGGCACCCTGTAGTCACACCCAACATCTTCCCACTTTGCATCACGTCCCATCTGAGCCCCCTCACCCTTCACATCACCTTCTCTCAGAAATGGGAACCAGCCCTCGATTCAGGAGCCACAGTCTCCGTGGTCACACTGAAGCAATGGGACATCCTATGGCAGGAGCAACTGAGAAGGTCCTCATCCTCCTCAGAGCTGTCACTTACACGGGGTACACAGTAAGCCGGCGCCACATGACCTATGGGTCACCCTCCACCAGTCCCCTCCCAGGGAGGACAACCACACATCACTCATCTTTAGGCTAATCTGGCACAACTGCTCTGGGGTTGGAATGCTGATTGTGCCACTTGGGATTCGGCACCAGGAACTCTGGAGCCTGGGCTGAGTCAATACTCAGGAGTTTGGAGCTGCAGGCAAGCATGGAAAACCAGAACAGGTGAGATGCAACACAGGCTGGCCCAGGTGAGACACACTTTGGAGGGAAATGCACAGCAGCCCTACGCAAGGCGCTCACCCAAACTCAGTCCTGGCAGAAACAGCCTTCGAAGTCTCAGACCAGGCTGCCCAGAGGGGACATCAACACCCTGCCTGCTGGGCAACTGGTGACACCAGTACCTGCATCTGAAAAGAGGCTCCTTCTTACTAAGAGGCCACAGAAGGTTTGATGAAGCACAAGAACAGGAGGCTCAGGATGGCTTCCTCTGGAAAGGAGGAACACACACAAGTCTGCTGGCTTTGGGAGATGCCTGAGGGGAAGTCCTCCTGTCCCTCCTGATGGGCAGGGAGGAACCACAGTCACCAGAGCTCTGATGATACCCCCATCCCAGACAGGGAAACTGAAGTGGGAAAGCAAAATGACTCAGTCGTACACATTTTTATTGTAAAATAACAGTTTATGACTGTATAAATATAAGGGAAACAAAATGATGCTATGATTTATTAACACAATGTAGAATCACTGAATCAAGCTAGTTAATATATATCACCTCACATCCGAAGTTTACTCTCAGCAGTTCTGAGATGTACAGTTCGTGGTCATTTTCTCCACGCAGTGCAGGGAACTCAGTGCAGACAACTGCCCCACCCGAGACTGTCCCCCTATCCCCGTCCTGGGGCCTCGTGCTCTCTGCGCCCATGACGGCACGTGAGGAAGGACATACAGCATTTGTTCTCTGTGCCTGGCATCTTCATTGAACATAATATTCTCCAATTCCAGCCATGTTTTTGGAAATGGTAGAATTCTCTTCCTTTTTAAGGCTGAAGAGTGACCCGTGTGTGTATATCATGTTTTCTGTGCCTACTTGTCTGCTGACAGACACAGGTTGACCTCCTGTCTCAGCTACTGTGGACACTGTTGCTGTGACCAGGGCAGTCAGGACGGCGCCTCCTTCCTTCTGGGCAAACTTCTGGCTCACATGGAGTCCTATCTTTAGGCATTATCGGAACTGCCATAGTGTTTTCCATATGTTTTTCTGAACTAATTTTCATTCCCACTAGCAGTGTTTAAAGGTTCCCTCTTTTCCACATGCTAACACTTGTCTTTTCAATAATGGCCATTCTGACAGGTGTGAGATGTCTCACTGCAGGTTTGAATTTGCCTTCCTGTGATTAGCGATGCTGAGAATCTCCCCACACACCTACTGGCCATCTCATGTCTTCTTTGGAGAAGTATCTATTCAGGTCACTTACCCATTTTTAACTAGGCCTTTTATTTCGTTTTTGTTTTGTTTTGTTGCAGTTTTTGACCAGGGCTGGGTTTGAACCCACCACCTCTGGCATATGGGGCCAGCGCCCTACTCTTTTGAGCCACAGGGAGCTGCCCTGAGCCTTTGATCTTGCTACTGAGTTGTTTGAGCTCATTATATAATTTGGATATTAATGCCTATTGGATGTGTGGCTTGCAAACGTTTTCCCCCAATCTGTAGGCACCTATGAACATTGCTAATTGTTTTCTTTGGTGTCCAGAAGCTTTTTTGTTCCATATAAATCTCATTTATCTATTTTTGCTTCTGTCACTTATGCTTTTGGGGTCAAATCCAAAAATTCATTGCCCAGAACAATATCATAGTTTTTCTCCTATTTTCTTCTAGTACTTTTACAGTTTGGGATCTTAGATTTAAGTCTTTAATTCAGTCAGAGTTGATCTTTGTCTGTGATGTGAGATGAGGGTCCAGTTTCCCACCACTCTTCACTGGAGAGGCTGTCCTTCCCCACTGCGTGCCCTTCCCCACTGCATGTCCATCCCTACTGTGTGTCCATCCCCACTGCGTGTCCTTCACACTGCGTGTCCTTCCCTACTGCATGCCCTTCACACCTGTGTGTCCTTCCCCACTGTGTGCCCTTCCCCACTGCGTGTCCTTCACACTGCGTGTCCTTCCCCACTGTGTGCCCTTCCCCACTGCGTGTCCTTCCCCACTGCGTGTCCTTCTCCACTGTGTGTTCTTCACACTGTGTGTCCTTCCCCACTGCGTGTCCTTCCTCACTGCGTGTCCTTCCCCACTGCATGTCCTTCCCTACTGTGTGTCCTTCCCCACTGTGTGCCCTTCCCCACTGCATGTCCTTCACACTGTGTCCTTCCCACTGCGTGCCCCTCACACTGCGCATCCATCCCCACTGCGTGTCCATCCCCACTGCGTGCCCTTCCCCACTGCGTGCCCTTCACACCTGTGTGTCCTTCCCCACTGCATGTCCATCCCCACTGTGTGTCCTTCTCCACTACGTGTCCTTCTCCACTGCGTGTTCTTCACACTGTGTGTCCTTCCCCACTGTGTGTCCTTCCCCACTGTGTGTCCTTCCCTACTGCGTGTCCTTCTCCACTGTGTGTTCTTCACACTGTGTCCTTCCCCACTGCGTGTCCTTCCCCACTGTGTGTCCTTCCCCACTGCGTGTCCTTCTCCACTGTGTGTTCTTCCCACTGTGTGTCCTTCCCCACTGTGTGTCCTTCCCTACTGCGTGTCCTTCTCCACTGTGTGTCCTTCCCCAATGTGTGTCCTTCCCCACTGCGTGTCCTTCCCCACTGCGTGTCCTTCTCCACTGTGTATTCTACACACTGTGTGTCCTTCCCCAATGTGTGTCCTTCCCCACTGCATGTCCTTCCTCACTGCGTGTCCTTCACACTGCGTGTCCTTCCCCACTGCGTGTCCTTCCCCACTGCGTGCCCTTCCCCACTGCGTGCCCTTCCCCACTGCCTGTCCTTCACACTGCCTGTCCTTCCCCACTGCGTGCACTTCCCCACTGCGTGTCCTTCCCAACTGTGTATTCTTCACACTGTGTGCCCTTCCCCACTGCGTGCCCTTTCCCACTGCATGCCCTTCCCCACTGCGTGCACTTCCCCACTGCCTGTCCTTCCCCACTGCGTGTCCTTCCCCACTGCGTGTCCTTCCCCACTGTGTGTTCTTCACACTGTGTGTCCTTCCCCACTGCGTGTTCTTCACACTGCGTGTCCTTCCCCACTGCGTGTCCTTCCCCACTGCGTGTCCTTCCCCACTG